TTAGTCAACAATGGGTAATAGTACATCTTTTTTGTGAATGTACTGAATTATTGTATCTACAGTAATAACCCGAAAAGGAAAATATGAGCGAGAGGAAGAAGCGCAAAATGTCCCTGGTGCTACGGGTTCGGAAGACGACGACGGTTCAGATTCGGATGCACCTATGGAGATCTCATCCAAACCTGGTCCTGATATAATTCTTTCTGCAAGTCCTGAGAAGGAACTGAGTTTGTTTGAACAGGTGGGTGAAATCTGCCATCGTTTCTAGAACGCTTCTTATCTAAGCACATACGCTTGTGTTGTGTTCACTCATTAGAGCTTGGTCATCCTTCCCAAATCCTTCGGAAGATCTTGAAGATCTTCCTCGGTTACTTCTCTTCGCCTTACAGAAGCGAGCTCGTTAATGCGAAACGAAAACAAATTAATAATCATTCAGGTACAAGAGCGGAAGAGGGAGGAAGAAGAGAAGCGACAGAATAAGGCTCAAAGCAAAAAGCGAAGACGGATCAAGAAACTTCACGCAGGAGAATTTGTTGTCAAGGCCAAGTGAGTACTGTTTTTTTGTTTGTGCGGTATATATCGTGTTACTGTTTAGAAAGGCGGAATTCAAAGTGCTTACTCTGGACAAGGGATTGAAAAAGTCTTTAGAGCCAGCGGTGAACTTCAAAGAGCAGTTGCTGATGGCCCGAACGTCGGGAAGGAGAGAAAGAGGTAAATTCCTGCTATGGAAATTCTTAAAAAGAGGTTGAGAATTTTGCAAAACTATCTGAATTGTTAGACATAAAAGTTTTTTTTATTACTTTTAGGTTGTCCCAAAAGTAAATCGTATCTCATAAATCAAGCTGTTCCTCTAACAGACTTAGGGTATCATTCGATAGTGCAGATTATACAAAAAGACCATCAAAGGTCCGCCCAGCTCGTAATCCAGGTAAAGTTTGAAGCCAAAATCGAAAAAAATTTTATCATAAAAAAATTGATTTTTGCGAAGAAAAGCCCTGCGGACCTCCAACTTGGTCATTATATAGACACATAGCAGTAAACATGCCTTTGCTGGATTTTTTCTGCCCATGAAAGGCGAGAAAAAAATC